TAAAACTCTTACAATTTCTCCCAACTCTCTTCAGATAAAAAATGTAATTTTTACCATCAAAGGTACTTGTAATAGATAAGCACATGCTTATGATTCATATAATAAATTGATAACATTCCTTTAGTTACTGATAAATAAATTATATAAAATTACTAAATAAATATAATTTTTTATTTATATTGTATATAATTTGATATATATTGTATATACCTTATATACAGTGCCATGGCTACAAGATACAAGCCCCCCATTCCAAAAAAAAAACCTGTCATAAGGGCCCCAAAATTACTCAAAACTAAATAAAAATCCTAAAAAAAAAAAAATCCTTACATTTGTAAAAGGGCCCCTAAATTTGCAAATGAGCCCCCTAGACAAACATTTTTTAATTGACCTGAAAAAGTTTTGTATTTGAAAGAGGGACATCTATCAAGTACCTAAAATTTAACTGTATTATTTCCTATATGTGCTAATGAATGGACATTGTACACTAGTTCATCCTTATGATAAAGTTCACATATAAAGATAAGTAGCTGAAAAGCAAAATTAACATATTTTTTCAACAAAATGAAACATTATGAAAGTAGAACTACAACTGAAAAATCTAAAAAATTAAATACATTTTTGGCTAAACCATTCCCTTTAAACAACTGGTCCAGTGTTTACTATAAATAGTCTAAGCTCAATTGTTTTCCAATTTTTAATATCTAATTCATACCTTGATTTTCTATAAAAATTTCTTGATATGTAATGACGTATCTGGAACAATCCGCTAGATAAAGTATTGACTGTAATCTGAGACAATTTACAACATTTGGCCAATTTAACCATAAGTTGAGAAATCTTCGCATTACCCCTAAGCATACTAGATGCATTAAGTCTAAAGGAAACTTTGTCACCATGTCAAAATTTAATTCAATATAACACACCACTAAGATGTTCAGAATGCTTTTAATGACAAAAAATCTGAATCAGTGCTTAAAATTAGTGAAATATGAAGGAGAATTATCTTGCCACACCACTCTCCTTTCTAAGCACAACATTCACATCAGTTATAACCATTGTGTCCTTTAATACACTTTACAAATGCTCTAGCTGGTGCATCACATATGATAACAGCAAGATTGATTTTAAACTCAATATTTTCATAGATAAAACCATCTTTTGCAAGAACTTTGAAATCTAGCAAAAAATTATGTAGACAATTAAGGTGACCTGCTATTCTCATTTACTGAGTTTTTTTTACTCTTTTTTCACAAACCGTACTTTTTTCAAACCCTGTACTCTGAAAGTACTCATTTGTATAATTTTGTACTCATTTGTATTTCTAAAACATTTTTTTTTATATTATTTCATTTCAATTTTATTAATTAAATATTTAAAATTATTTTGACAGTGATTTGAATTTCATGCGCACATATTGCTAGCCGTTTCCAGCACGTCAGAGGACAGGGCAAACACCAGATACAAGTTTAAAAGTGATTTAAATTTTCAACACACATATGGCTGCCATTTTCAACACAATTGAGAGGCCGTATTATGAACCTGGAGAGATAGATAGATACTACAGACCTCTTTTTCTAACAATGTTAAAATTACATTTGTGAAAAGAGATGGATCCAACATTTGCATATGTAATCCCCAGGCTTATCTTTGATGTACAGTATGTACGCACATCAAAGATCAGCTTGACAGTCTTAAGGCATGCGTAGTATGTACAGCAAAGTTTTTTATCCATTTATTTAATTAAATAAAAGGATAACAAAAACCTTACCGTACATACTACGCATGCACTTATGGTTAATTAACCATAAAATCAAAAATTACAAACTTAATTATAATTTACAAATTTATGTTCGGTGTCACTCATATTAAAAACGAGTCAATGGAGCAACACCTTCATAAAATAAACAAATAAAATAAAAAATAATAACAAAGAAAGAAAACTACATTAATGCAAGTAATAAAAAAAGAAACATAAGGAACAATACTATTTAAAAAGTTGGAATTAACACATAAATATAAAAGAGTAACGCTAAGAAAAATGAAAAAAAAAAGAGAAAATGAACGGATGAGATAAGATGAGTGAGAAAATATGTAAGAGAAAACAAAAACTTAATCACATAAGTTCAGAAGGATAAAGTGACAGAAAAATTTTTTGCAGAAAAATATAAAAAAATAAATTTAAGACAAATTTAAATAAAAAAATATATACATACACTACTATACACAATATTAAAGGCTATATTAAAGCCTATAAACTGACCGCTTTGGAAGATTCCAATCCTGAATAAAAAAAAAAAATTTAAAAGAAGTTAAAAAATTTTTATAAAATTTGTTATGAATTTATGGAAGAATGGATAATGAACTTTAGAGCATTGAATTGTTTTAAATGGACCCTTATAAATAGTAAAATTTAATGAAAAAAAGTTTCTTCAGCAGTCGAATTTGTAAAAAAGGAAGTAAAAGATATTGTTATTAATGACAATTTTCTTTTTGAAGAAATTGGAAGAGTAAATTCATTTTTAAATGAATAAAAATTGAAGAAATGGAACAATGAGAAAATAGAACTTGAAAAAAGATGGGTAGAAATCTTTTGGCATTTTAGAGTAAAACATATCCCACATGAAGTAGAGTGTTATCCCACATGAAGTAGAGTATCCCATGAAGTGTATCACATGAAGAGTATCACATGAAGAGTATCACATGAAGTAGTTAGTTATCCCACATGAAGTAGAGTAGAACATATCCCACATGAAAATTTAAAAGTTTTAACAGAAATTTCTTTATGTTGTCCAGGCACTAATGCTGCTGTTGAAAAGGTATTTTCACTAAGGAATGATTATTGGAGCAGTGAGAAGTTGCAACTTTCTGTAAAAACATTATATGTTGTCTTAACAGTCAAATTTAATATGAAATTTAATATGTTCGGATGCAGCTACATTCTTAGACAAACATCCTCATCTAGCAAAAAAAATCCACTCTGACGAAAAATATGTTTTAAAAAAAAAATAAAGTTTTTTATCGTTTTATCTTCCTTTTTTTTTTTACCTATGAAATACTTGCAAAGTGTACTCTTTTTGAACAAAAGATAGTTGGTCCCCTTAAGATAATTAAAAATGGAATTAGATTTTTGGGCACCACTTTTTACACAAATTTAAAAAAACATAATTTGGGTCCTCTATTATTGCAAGTCCTAGGCCTAGGCTCTGATGGCAACATTTATAAATAGCAACAACTTTTGGCAAATTTTATTTAAAATTTACATGTATGTTTAAATTTTGTCACTATTTTAGATTTTCATTGAATAAATTCCTATATAAAAATATATTTTATATAAAACATTTATGGAGTATTATTCTCTTTTACTATCAGCTATCAAGATGATTAAACTGACTTGATCAGCTTCAGCATTAATCTGAAGCTAATGAGTTTATAGCTGAAGCTGAAATATCAGCTGCAACTCCTACTTTATAGACAACATAGTTAATGTGATGTATATACATTGTAATAATAAATGTGTTTTTTTTTATACTCAAATAGTTATTTTTTTATTTTATGATACATTAAAAAAAATTTTTTTAAAATAATATTTACTTAAATTACTCTAATTGAGGTTATTAACAACGGTAATATTTACTCAAGTTATTATATTTGTCCCCCAAAGTTAATGTAGCTCTATTATACATAAGTCTCTCACTAATTCTAATAATAAAATGTTATTGCCATTATTACTATAATTATATTTACTAACCTGTTATTATTAATATTTATTAAAAACACATTCTGGTTGCTGAAGTCACTTTTACTCATATCAATATGCAAATATTGTAAACAGTCAGAGTGCACCGTGCTGAAATATTCTTTAAGATGCTGCAAAATACAAGATATACATAAGATACATATCATATAAGACCTATTGCCTGAAACTTAACATTTTATATTGTTTAAATTACTGTAACTCAATTATAATAAATAAGCATATGGCTATAATCTATATAATAACTAACATCTTTTTTTAGTTATTGTTATTTATGTAAAAGTTATTAAGTTAAATTAAAGTTTTATAACTAAAGTATGAATGCAAAAGTTTATACCAATAAAATTTTTTATCAGTATTATAAACATAATTATTATATTACAAGTATTTACAAGTATAGGTATTGTAAGTATAAGTTATTATTATGTATATTAAGAAATTATTGTTTATATTGCAAGTGTACAATTTTAAATCAAAATCAAAAAATATCAATGATTAAAAAATGAGGTTGATGCATAACAATAAAGCCATATTTTTGAATTTATACATCTAATTATATCTTTATTTATATCTGACGGTGGGTAAACTTTGTTAACATCAGTCATTTTGCTTGCATAAAATATAGAAAAATTAATGGAAAAGAGTGGATCTGTAAAAACGATTTAAAAGCTTTCTTTTTAAATGTTTCTGACTAAACTAATATTTTGATTAAACTCAAACCATTTATTATCTAATTATATCACTAGCTGCTATTTTGTAGTGTCTCAATGGAACATTTACTACATGTTTAATAGTTTCTGCAACATATGTTTAACAATTATGTTGAACTTTGCAAATTCATTTAAAAAATAATATATATGTATATATGTATATATAAAAATTCTTTTATAATGATAATAAATAAATGAAATTTTAAAACAACGTCTTTTTAACTGAGTTTTACAGTGACAAAACACATCAAAAAAAAATTCTTATTAATTACAATGTAATGTATTCAAAAAATGTAATGCATAAAAGTTAAATTTTTAATCTTATTTCACGCACAATACGAATTAAAAATGGCAACCATCGAGTAAGTTTTGTTATGATTTTTTTAAAACCTTTTGAGAACCTTATGGGAAACCCGTCAAATCCCCAGGTTATTCGGCCCAGATAAAACCCTACCAAAACACTTACCCGTCAAAATCCCGTTCCCGTAAGCCCAGACAAAAACCATACGGTACCCGTCTGTCAATGCTGGCTGGGATATTATTTATATGATCGCTTAGAACAGGCAATTAATTTTAATTAATTGCCTGTTAAAATGTGATTTCTCCTCTGTAACAGTTTGGGTCTTACATTTGCTTTTGAATTTTAACTCAAGCTAAACTCAGTTACTGCTTTCACTTTTCACCATATTTTTGATATTCCTAATTAGATGTATTGCAACATCCTTACTGAACTCTCTACATTATGTCTTTTCAAATTATCATTCAGCGCTAACCCAGCAAACATGCTTTCAGCGGACCGCGATGCGCAAAGCCGCCGCCGGAATGCCGGTGCTGGCCCTTTGTGATTCCTAATGCGGCTTACCGCTGCCGGGTAGCTGATGTAGGACCGGCATGCTAATTTGTGTTGACTTTCCGCCATCGGCCGAAGAGCGATAAAACACCTCGTTGCCAATGCGATTTTAAATAGGCATGCCACCTTCGGTAAGTTTATGACGATACACTTTAGTTTTGCCAACACAATGCCCAAGCAGGCTCCCGGATAACGGTAAGATGTCGTAAAAACACCAAAAGTAAGCATTTCAAGCGCCATGAGACTTTGATCGATTTTTATATTTTATACTGTAGTACATAGTCTCTGTAAAACAGTAAGTAATAAATAAATAGTATTAAAAAAAATCAAATTAGTCTTTTTATTTTTAAGTCTTACAATATAGATTATATATATTAAATCTACATCTATACTTTAATAAAGTATAGTTGTAGATTTAATATATATAACCTATATTGTATATTTTATAATATAAAGTCCGATTTATTTTATTTATTAAATTATATTTTATAATATAAAGTCTTTATATTATAAAATATACCTAGCTATAATTATTGCTTATAAATATTAAAAGTTACATGATTTTATACCTTTATCTATATTTATAAATTATAAATATAGATATAAATATAATATATTATAATATAATATAAAGTATACTTTACTATATATTATAATATAATATATTATCTATATTTATAGTTTATATTTATATCTACATCTATACTTATATATTATATCTATATCTATACTTAGTATAGATTACTATATATTATATCTATATCTATACTTAGTATAGATATAAAGTATAGATATACATATAGGTTCAATATATATTTATAAAACTCAAAATTAAATATTCTAATTTGATTTTATTTTAAACATATATAACTTTAACAATATTGTTACAGTTATGTAAGAATATTATAACCATATTAGTATAACATTGTTCTTGTTATATTAAAAGTTACATGACTAGTCATATAACTTTTAGTATAACAAGAACAATGTTAAACTAATATGAAGTTATATATATATATATATATATATATATATATATATATATATATATATATATATATATATATATATACATATACATATATATAATATATACATTTTTAAATATGTACCAGCTTTAGTAAATAAAACAATTTATGTAAATTTCAATAGTGAGCTTTTGGACAAAACGACGACAGATAATAGCTGATGTTGAATATTGCCTAAAAGATCTTACCATTAAATCAAGCAATATTTCACATTCACCAGAAGAAGTATAATAATTGTATTTAAAAAGTATATCCGATTGAAAACTTTCAACTGAGAGTGCTGTTCCCTAAGGTGCAAATAATATTAATTGTGAAGTGAACTCTGACAGTAATCTATTGATATTAAATATTGGCATTAGACAACGTATTTTAAGTAATAATTTAAGTTTTTTAAAGAAAAAGGATTGTATACCAATTCAAGTCAACATTGATGATTTACCATTGTTTAAAAGCAGCATTGGACAATTTTGGCCAATATTAGGTTTAATAAAAAATGTGGATAAACAATATTCAACACAATAAAACCCCATTTATAATTAGTCTTTTTTATAGTAGGTCTAAACCAAAAGACCATAATGAATTTCTAAAAATGTTTGTTAATCAAAGTATTGCTTTATTTGGTTCTGGTATTAGTATTAATGGTAAAGTAATATATAACTTATATTTTACTAAAAAAGTAAAATATAAGTTTGCTATATCAGCTTTTATTTGTGGTACACCAGCTAGATCATTTATAAACAGAAATAAAGGACATAAAGACTATTAATAAATGTTATGCAATAATTAATGGCATTAATTTGATATCTATTTTTTTTTAATTTTTTAAAAAATATTCTTCAGTATATATATTACTGATGCTTTTTCTATTTTTTTTGTAGATAATAGCTGTGGCAAGTAAAAGAGGCCAGACTTTAAAGGAGGCTGTCCAGAGAATGTCCTTTGCGTTATTCACTAATAACCTCTGCTGTAAACTTAACTGGTCTGGTATTACCATAAATGACAATAAAAGTAACTTTGTAAAACAAAGACTTACACTTGCTTAAAAGTAATTTTTTTTGTAGGGGCTTGTTACTCTAATTTAATAATTACTTGTGTCTAATTTAGTCATTACTAATCTATTTGTTGATAAATAATTGATAAATAAATAAAATTTATTTATTATTTATATAAAAATAAAAAATTAATAAATACATGAATAAAATTTGTTAATAAATTGCCTTAAAAAAAATTCTATATTTGTCTGAAATTAAGTTAAAAAAAAATATATATATATATATATATATATATATATATATATATTTATTTATTTGCATTTACTCCCAACAAGGCTGCAAGCAACCACTATTAAGTTGGGAGTTACTAGGAAAAAGACAGACGACTTAAAAAGTTGAAGGTTGTATGAGTCAGGAAAACATGAAGATGGGAGAGAGTTCCAAAGGATTGAAGTGCAGGGAAAAAAACTAGATGAATAAAAGTTTTTAGAGCATGCAGGGACAGATACAGTAAACGAATGAGACTTAGCTGTATGACGAGTAAAACGAGAATGAATTTTAGTTGATGGAACTAGAGATGATAACTCCTTTGAGCAGTGACCATGATAGTATTTGAAGAAAAGAGAGAGAGATGCAACTTTACGACGACGGGAAAGAGGTTCAAGCTTAGCAGATAGTCCAGGTCCAACAACATTTACAATGCGTTTTTGGACCTTGTCAAGAAGAGAAAGTGAATCATTAGAAGAACCAGCCCAAATATGACAACAGTATTCCATACAGGGACGAATAAGAGATTTGTAGAGGTAGAGAATGGAATCAGAAGTAAGGATATGGCGAGCACGATAAAGAGAAGCAACCTTAGCAGAAGCTAATTTAACAATCGATTGTATATATGGTTTCCATGAAAGGATAATCCAAGAAGACGTAAAGAGGAGGACTCAGTTTTCCTGCTAGATAGTTAAATAAAAGTCTTAAATTAATTTTTAGGAGCTGTAAAAAGAAATCCTGCAACAACTTCAGCAACTGAATCAGATTTTCAATATGAGGTTGTGCGTTTTTTGCGTAGTGCATCAGACTGCAATGGCAGAAAAAAAGTTAGACAAGACCAAAAAAACAAACAAGCCGAGAAAATGATGTCTACATCATGTTTTCCAATGCCATTAAATAATTTAGTTCAGAAGATGAATAACATTGCTAAATAAAATAAGCATCTTTATTTACATATTTGTTATCTTTATTTTACAATATTTTATATATTTTTAAACTCAATGGAGTAAAGTTTTTGTGTAATGAGTATTATTGATCTGTGTTTTTCATATTCATTCCCTTTTACAGTAACCTTTTGTATATGAGATTGTAGATGAGAATTTAAATCGTGATATTGAATCTTACCAGAGAATAAAGTAAAATTAATTTTATTATTTTGATATTTATTTAATTTTATTATTTTGATATTATTTGATTTAATGTTATTTTTGAAGAAAATCCAAAATATAAGTTCTGGAGTCTGTCTACTGTTTGATTTGTTTGATTATATTAAATTTAAAAATAACTATAAGCTTTAAAATATAAAGTTATTGATGGAAAGCTAAATTAACTTGGTATTTAACCAGTGAAGCAGATAAATAAAAATCTAACAAAATTTTTATTTTACAAGCCATTATTTTAAACGATTGCTTTAACAATTCTGTTTAAACACGCTTGTAATTTAATGTTACATTTATGATTTAATATTATTTCTTTACAGGAAATCGTTTATCTCAACCAGAGTTATATTTCATAGAATTATGTTGACCATGATCCAAATATTGCCATGGGTATAAGATAGATGTTTGATTTGCAAACTGGATTTAAATCATATTTTCTTTAAACATATTTATTATTAATAAATATGTTTAAAGGAAATAAATAATTTATTAGAAAAAAATTATATACTTATTTACTAAACCGTTTTATTTCAATCAATTATTTGATTTTTTATATTTTTCAAGGAATTTTTATAGTATATTTTATTGCACTGTTTTTTTTTTTTGTATGGTGAAAACTATGTTCAATTTACAAACTATATTTTAGTTTATCAAAATATATTTTTATTGATGTGTTCTGTCTCTGATTCTTTCTTTTTCAGATGTGCACTTGTGTTTTAGGCTTATGCTTTGCAAAAGGTTCACCATCGCCCTTAAGTTGCTGTGGGTTTTACGGTTTTACTTTCAACCTGGCATATAAGTATCTCATTTTTAAATACTATTTTATTTGTTAAATTAAAATTAAAGAAATTTTTTTAATGAAATAACAATTTTTTTTTATTATTCATAAACCCCTCAAGCATATTTATACCCCACATTTATAGGATTAGGTATACCAGGTAGGTTACTGTATATGAAGTATTGTTTTTTTAAAAAAGGCACGCAATATGACTTTATTTTTATATAGCTTTTTTTTTAAAGTTATTTCCATAGCTTTTCAATTTAAACAATATTTTTTTTGTTTTTATGTTTTAAATTATGCTTAAATAATAAAATTAAATTTATATTTATTCAATGTAGATGCACTTAGTATCTAAAGTTATTTGTCAATAACTGGTGATCAGACTCTCAAACGAACACGTTTTTAAGGGCTGAGAAGGTTAGTTTATTATCTTTGTTGTAATAGCTCTAAACTTGACTGTTTCAATATTGTCATTATATATCATTGCCTGTTTTTAGGTGAAAGTTAGAAGTCTGCAGACTGCAACGTAAATCAATTTTCAACACATGGTTTCCTGAATATATTTAGTTTTCGATTGAAATGTGAATAAACTGAACTTATAGATATGTTGAAAATTAACTATTTTATATTTTAAACGTTCGCTAAACGCAAGTGAAGCAATAATATATATCTATAAATGCAAATATACTTTATATTTTGTTTTAGTTTAAAAAAAATTGTTACTTTTATATTCATGTTGTAATTGTAAATTGCAATTTTTAAAATGATTTTTATTATAACTTCTGATTAGTCTCTTTGTTAACCGAGCTTAAGCCTTGCCACGTATGACCTAATGATTTACAGTTGGGGTAGTGTTTTTCGGTGGTAGGAGAATTTTAGTATAATAAATTCGTATTTTGTCTATATACCTATGCACAAAGTGAAAAGATATTTGATGTGTCTTCCAGGCATTGGCAGGATTTGCATTTTTTTATGACTAAAAATTTGAGCCGAAAGATATAGATTTTTGCTAACAATAAGTGCGTTCTATTCAAACAAAAAAATAAAAATAATTAAATTTATATCAATGCATTCAAATCTTAGTCAAAACTTATTATAGATCCTATGCTATTCCGCTATGGCTTTATCATCGTTTAGCCGCTGACGGACCGTTGCTCAAACGTTGTCGATTTGCCGCCATAGGTCCGCTGTCGAACCGCCTTCAGTTTTCCGCTAACGGACTGATGTAAATACGATATGCAAGCCAACGCGGCAACGCAACGGGCGGCCGACGTCGGCACGGCATAAGTGCTGGCAGTGGTCCGTTAACGGTCCGCCTGTTCGATGTTTGCTGGGTAGTTCATATTTTTGGGTAGGGCTCACCCTATATCTTTCTCCATCCTACCTTAAAATACGAATCATTTTACTCAACTGTTGTATTTAAAAAAATTCTACTTTGATTGAGTAAAATTGTGCAAAGATAAAACAATTTTTACTTATCTTAGTTTTTAATTTAGTTTAATAATTTAACCGGAGCATCAACCGGATCGAGGTACGCAGTAGTAAGACATCTTGGTCTTCTGCACGTTTTTGACCACATATATAATTTTATATTTATATATAAAAATATATTTATATATATATATATTATATATAAAATATATATAAAAAATATATAAAAATATATTTTTAGCAAAAGTCATATTTCTAAAAGAAAATTACTTAATTTTCATTCTTATAAAATTATTATTATTATTTTTTATAATTTCATGCAAGCGTTTAATGATTTTTGAATACGCATTGAAATTGAAACTTTTATGAAGTTGTAAAAAATAACTAAATTTAAAAAGAAATAAAAATTTAAAGGGGCGCTTAACCGGGAAAGAAAAACTACCGAGATATCGCCTCTCATAAATTGTGTTCATATGTAAAATAATTCTAGCATATGAACTTACGGAATCTTGGTTAGCCGGGTTAGTGCTGTTTGAACAGTTTTTAATAATTCTAGACCCGATTACGGCATTTACAATGTGATATAAATGTTATCAAACTGATATTAAACGAAAATATTATTAATGATAACATGATCAATAATAAATTTTAAATACAAATGTTATTAAATGTTATTAAAAATCTCAGAGTTTCTTTTATTTTAAACTACAACTATATTTCCGTTGGAGATCGCATCGGTCAGTAAAATTTAGATTGCAATTTGAAAGATTGGATTTAGTGTTTTCCAAAAATTATTCTGGGTAGACTGGAAGGCCTTGTTACAAAATTTTAAAAGCGCTTGCTTAATTTTTGAATTCAAGTTGTTTGACCACGTATGTTTATAAAACCTAAGCAGTTTTTCAAGGCGAAAATTTTTTTCTGTCATATGAACAGCCCCTACCGTTGATCATATGGAGATAAATATTGACTGATCATATGGAGAAAACTGATGACGCGGAGAAAGAAATTTTAAGGCCACGTGATGTTTGTTTACAAATAATTATCACTTCAATTTTTAAATTAAAAACTAAAAATAAGTATTTAATAAAAACTATTTAGGTTTACAGAAAATTATTTGATAACTTTCTACTTTTACTCTATGCATATGAAAAATTTGATAATATTGCGTGTTTTATGAAATAAATATCATAAATAATTTTTAATTAACTAAAGAAAAACAATTTTTGCCTTAAAAGACCATAAGTCAAATGTTGATAAAAAAACGTGAGTATTTAGAATGAGTTCTAGAAGTTGAGCACGGTACATTTACCCACATTGATTTTTGGACATGAAACTACTGGCTCACAAACTCCATTTAGGCACTACCACACTGATGATGTTGGTTTAGAAAATGTGGACTTATTTAGATTGTATTTGTAAAGTACCATTATGTAAATTTGTTTATTAGTATAATTTAAACCAAAACAAAAAGTCAAATATTAAACATACGTTTTTTAACATAAGTCAAACGACTTAAATTTAAAAATTAAGCAAATACTATTTAAATTTTGTAACATATCTGACCAGCCTACCCGGAATGGTTTTAAGTGTGGGTTCATATATCATATAATTTTCGCCCCGCCTAACTAGAATCCTGGTAATTCATAAGCAAAATTTCGCCAAGGCTGGGTGAATAATTTTACATATTTAAAGAAGAGGCGAGATCTCAGTAGTTTTTTTTATCCCATATGCCCCTAAGAAAGCCACTAAGAAAGCTCTTCTTTATTGCGCAATATTTATGACCTGAGCGCGAACGATTAACGCATGCGTTCTTAAGTTAAAGCGTGATCACAACTTTCTTTTAAAAACACTATAAGCTGGACAGAAGGCTGAGATAATCAACTCCTTGTCTAATAGTGTGAGGTAAATATGATATGTAAAATTTATTTTACTTTATTATACGAAACGGAAAAAGTAAAATGTATAGTTATTGTACATTCTGTTGTCATAACATGTAATGGTTATTTAAAAGCATTTTAAACGAGTAATAAAAAGTATTAATATACATAAGGATTATACTTTAGGAGTTGATTTTCGTAAATTATTCTGTTGTTTAATTTTCTCATTTTTATTGATTTAAAGACAGGTTCATTATTAGCATTACAGAATGTCTTCTGAAACAAAGCGGGATCTTACTGAAGGTAGAATATTTAAGTTAATTATTTATTTTTATTATTTAAGTCTAATTACATAAAAAGAGAATATTCGCGTAGCATATATACCTTTCAAATTTTTACCAAAGGGCTATAAATATCAATCACGAATTCCTTATAAATATATATATATATATATATATATATATATATATATATACATATATATATATATATATATATATATATATATATATATATATATATATATATATATATATATATACACATATACATATACAAGTATATATATATATATATATATATATATATATATATATATATATATATATATATATATATATATATATATACATACATATACATATACAAGTATATATACATACATATACATATACAAGTATATATACATACATATATACATACACATACGCACAAGGAATTGTAGTGATCCTTGTTATATTATTACTATAAGTAATAATATTATATGGCCAAAGTTAGTAACGTTTTAGCTTTTAATCTGTAGGTGTGCCTATCAATAAAAATAAATAGCAAAAAGTTTACCTTATTATTTTAAATCTGTAAAATTCACAGTGCAGTTTAATTTTTTATATTTACAGTACAGTTTGATATTTGACATTCATAGTACAGTCTTGTACTTTTTGTTTATGTATGTTTTAATTTTGAATTATATTTAAAAACCGATTGCTGTTAAGCTTTGACATTAACTGAGAGTTTTGTGGAAAACTTTTTTTGGCTTGTCAAATCATAATGATAGATTAAGTAAATTATAGGTTCAAAATTAAGTCTCCTAATATTTATTGACTTTTAAAAATCACTAATTAAGTGTACATAAGTAAGAACTAATAAACTCTTATTTGAGCTTTTATTGTTGTAAACTAATATAGAATAGAGTTGCCAGTGTAATAATTTGAATTTTTTTGGCTATTTAATTTTTTTTTTCCTAATGACAGATTATGATAGAAACAATATTATTTATTGTTTCTATCATAATCATTATATATTTAAAAAAACATAAGTTTAAGTAACTAAAAACCATGTCGAAATAATGGGTGCTTTTATCATCAAAAACAACCAAATCAGTAAAACTGAGTCAAAAACATTTATATAAAAATTGTACCCAAACTCACTTTAAACTCAATAAGCAAGAAGTTCTGAGTAGATAAAGAGTTTAGAGTAAAAGAGCCTCATTAACTGCAGCGCCCCTCTTTGCTCTTGGGATGTGAGTAACAATGAAAATAAAAATGCTGATTACGTGATAAGTATTACTAAATAAAATTCATATATCTTGCAAATTTACAATTAAATATTATAATTGATTATTTAACAATATGCGACGCTGTGGTTTTTTTGTATACTTGTGTACTGCACATTTATTATTTTTAAGTCTTGAATTTGTCTTAAAGTGGTCTCAATTAAAGAAATTTATAATGAACAGTAAAAAAAAGGCCCAACTAAAATAATAGCTCAATTGTGATTATTTAAATAAAAAAAAATTCAATAAAATTATACTAACGTACTTTGCGGGAGTGTTTTAAAAGCCACGAAAATGTTTGAAAAAACAATTAAAATTATCTCATTTATTGGTTATATTTGTATCTAGGGTATGTCTAGTTATTAAAAAATATATTTTTATTTAGGGTATTCTACAGAAGAGTTGATGAAAAATCCGCAACTTATGGCTGCTGTCCAAGCTCAGCTTAATGGACTTGTTGGAGAAGGAACTGCTTATATAGAAACTTTGCCAAAATGTGTCAGACGGAGAATTAATGCATTAAAAAACATACAAGTTGATTTTGCCAAAATTGAAGGTAAATTTTATGAGGAAGCTCATTTATTAGAAATGAAGTATGCAGAAATCTTCAAGCCTCTTTATGATAAACGAAAGAATATTGTCAATGCTTTATATGAACCAACTGAGGAGGAATCTAAGTGGGTTGAACCAGGTGAAGAAAGTCCTGAGGAAGCAACAAAGAATGATGAAAAGTCAGATGAAGAAAAGTTAGCTGAAAAAGTTTTATCTAATCTAAAAGTTGATGAAAATACTAAAGGAATTCCAGAATTTTGGTTGACTGCTATGAAAAATGTTGAAATACTTAGTGAAATGATCCAGGTAAGTGTTTTGGCACTATTAACATTTTACGTACGTGAAGTTAAAATCTTTTTTGTTTGATAATATTTAAACAACTCTATTAATTTTTTTTTAATTGTCTTATAATTAAGTAATTAACACTTTTTTTAACAATATTTTAATGAAGTAGTTAACATTTTAAAAACTGCTTATAGTTGTGACAAAAGTTAAAATTAAAAATACAGTCAATATTTACAAGTATAATAGTTTCAGATAAAATAAAAATATGAAGTTTTATTTTTTAATCAAAATATTCAGCTACAAGAAAAACGGTTTATGTAACAGCGATCCTCCTTAAAACCTTAAATATCCTATTCAAAAGTTGAAAATTTGTTTGCTTTCCTTAAATTCTCCTCTTTTTTTTTACATTAGGAAATTTTATTAAAGTGAATTGATTATAATAATAAAGTGAATTGATTATAATAATAAAGAAAATATATAGTTCTTTGATAGTTAGCAAATCTATATTCAGGCTTGGACAGGAATGGCATGCAATCAAGCGCTATTGCTGACCAAGCAAATGGTTTTATTTTTTGACAATTTGACCATGACTGTTATTTTTTGGTATCTTGACCATGACATGAAAATTAAACATTTTAGAAATGCGCCAAAAAAAGAAAAGCTAAGCGTAAACTAGAAAGAAAATTAAAAAACAATTCCTCGTGAAAAGGTATATATAAACACTAAAATAAAACTCAAACTCGAAGCAAAAATTACTTTTTGCTATGTTTTTAATTGCGTTCAAAATAAATTATTTTAAAACTAATAATATATCTTTTAAAATGTTTTATTAAAGTTACATTAAATGCTTTAACAAGTTACCTCTAATGATTGTTTAATAAATGAACTAATTTTATTTAAGTTGTTCAAATGTTTTATAAATTAGTTGCATAAGCATTTATTTTTAGGAAATTGCAAAAACAAAAAAACTGTTTAATAATACAGTAGTCCATTTAAAATAATACTTTTTATACATTTCATGCTCTAATTAGTCAAGTTAAAAAAAAATAGTTTTATACAATTCTTCGTAAAAATAAAAATAAAAATAAACCAATTAAATCATTCCATTGCTACAGAAGATTTAATTTACTCATTCATAATTTAAACAAAAAATTATCTTTCAAAAGATTTTTAGAAAGAAAAAAATAGTTTTAAATGTTTAAGTTTATCATAAAAAGTACATGCCTACTTAAAAATGATTTAAATATAACATTATTTGTTAATTTACACAAAATGCTTTTACTTTAAACCATCACTCAGTGATGTATCCAGGCCGATTTTGATACTGGTATACTCCTAAATTTCTGCCCAAACTAAATTTTAAAAATTTTTATATTAACACTAAGTTTGTCATAAAAATTTTTTATAATTCTTTATTGTCTTGCTGTTTTGTGATAATATTTGTTATGATAATTACAAAATTGTCGTTAAGAAAAATGTCGTTTAGAAAAAGCAACGCTCAAATAATGACTTTTAAAACAGATTATAAATATATTTTAAGTCAATCAGAATGCTTAATTAGAATTCATTTAGATGAATTATGGAATATGTTACAATTAGATAAAAATGATCCAATCAAAACACACGTTTTGATTTGATTAATATATGAAACGTTTAGCATTTTATACTTAAAAATAAAAACATTCATTTTTTAAAATACTTATAATATGAGTTCTCTCCTTCCCTTACGTTTTCACAACTACAATTAACAGTGCGAATATATATTTTTTTAAATATATATTTGCTGATTTATTCACTTTTAATGTTACAGCGCTCGAAATAGTTTTTCAATGGAAAATAACCTCTTTTTTTATTATTTCACAGTTCGTTATTTCGAGCGCTGAAGTTACAATAAACAAATAAGCGGTAATATACATAACAGCAAGCCTTCTCTTACGAGAAGGCCTGCTATTATGTATATTATATGACCACACATATAGTTCTTTGTTTTAACAACTTGACCATGGCTTATTGCAAGTTTTGATAATTAACGCATTTAAGAAATGCGCTAAAAAAACTAAGCAAATTAAAATTAAAATAAATAATCAATAAACTGAAAAGAAAATAAAATCCTTAAAATAATTTATATAACATAAACTAAAATATTTAAAGAATGATAAAATAAAGGAAAAACCAGAAAAAAAATTTATTAAATGTAAACTTAATTGTAAGCAAAAGTGAAAAAATCATAGCTCTTTATCATTCCTTTCCATGAATAAATAATACCCGGGCGAATCCATAGTTTTCATAGGATCCATTTTTCCATCTTTTTTACAAGAATGTGTCTTTTAAAAATCAATGTCTTTTTATTATTTTGAGAATCCAATATTAAAAGATCCGATGTTAAGCTCTGTTGACTCTCAGTTTACTAAATCTTAGCATAAGCCAATGCTTTTATTACAATTAAAAACTGCAAACAAATATTGCAATATTGTTGGCATTCCTATATTGAAAAAATTACAACCCTTTCACTCTCAGATAAAGTCTCGAAGCATATTGTAAATGTAATTAGACCTGCTTTATCTACCAAGCTTGAGCCTTTCTCCCACTGTCGTAAGGTTGCATTTTTTTTTCTTCTACAAATACTATCATGGTCAATGCTCAAACAAGTTTTCATCTCCAATTCAATCAACCTAAATTCATTCTCGTTTGGCTTCTTATTCATCCTTTACTGTATCTGTTCCTTCATGGTATTAAAACTTACATTATTTCAATTTTTTTCCTTGCACATCAAAAAAACTTCTTAACTCTTATCCATCTTCATGTTTTTCTGGCTTGTACAATCTACAATTTTTTAAGTCTTCAGATAACTTTTTCCTTTCCTTTATCTCTGTAATCTATTTTCTAGTAACTCATAACTAAATAGAGGTTGCTTGCAACTTTTTTGGAATTAAATTAGAAATTTATTTTTTTCTGGCCCTGACTATTAATCCCTGCTAAATCTTATAATTTTGTCATGGTTGGGTTTTTTGAAAAGTCTCATTTGTAGCCGGGGCCCCTAGTCCGGGTCACTTACTATAAACAGTAGATGTCTAATAAATGTTCTGTGTCTACTGGGCAAAGTTTTAGATCCTTTAAAAAAAAATCTCAAACAAACAAAATCTGTTTTTAAAGCTTCTTTATAAATTCAATTTAAATCTTGTGTTAATTCTTTTGTTGTAATTGATTTTTTTGATTTTTTAAAAGATTTGCTGATAATGCAACTTTTTTGCATTTTTGTCAAGTCTTGTTAATAACTAATCACCTTTATAGCTATGCTATGATACATAGCTATGACTATTATCTTCTGATAGTTAGCTATGAACATTATCTTCTTTCTTGGAAACTGGGAGCCAAATATCCATGAAGTTGTATCTCCAAAGTTTATCACTTTATCATGCTCGTTATTTACAATATTTTTTAAAAAATTGCTGGGACAATCATTTTAATGTAAAACACAATCATATCATAAAATTATAACAAAACCCAATTATTGCAATAAAAAAAAAGTTTAAATTAACATTGTTTAAATTTTGTTAGTCACAAAAATTACTTTTTGTAAGAAGGGTTAGGAATTATCTTATTGTCATTAGGTCGTTTATTTTAGTTTTGTGATAGTCATTTAATTTTATTATATTTAGGAACATGATGAGCCGATTTTAAAACATCTTATTGATATCAAACTTTTGTTTACTGGGAAGGTTGAAGGCGATACAAGTGATTCAACAATGGTAATTATTCTTTTCATATTTTATAAATATTTAATAAATGTGGTTTATTAAATTTTGTGAATGTTTATTCATATTTTTTTAATGTAAGGTACAATCCTCTTAACATTGCTCGCAATAGAATTATCGCTTTAAATTTTCTTACTTTTATTTTGAGCCTGTCTGTTCCATATTTTCAGCATTAAATTATTGTTTCAAAAATCTAAATTTTTATTCTTTTTTCTTTTCCTGTGATTCTCCAACAATTCTACATCTTGGAAATATTATATTTTAATTTTTTTAAATTCTAATAGCACTATAATTTTTGAATATAACATAATTTTAAAATAGATTTAAATAGTAATCTTTTAAATGCACATTTTTAATGACTGGAAAAAACTACACTGAGTACAATCTTTGGTTTACGACTACTGCACAAAGAAAATACAATTTTGTTAAAACAAAAATAATTTTTTTATATTTTTGTTGATTTTAAGGTAATAGAATAAGGTAAGAAATAACTATTTTAAGGCTCTCTATCATGTTTAGAAGTTGAACAAATTCTGGCTAAGATATCAGCTCTAATCTAAGTAAGGGGACAGCATCATAAAAAAATCTTGGATGTACTTGGTGCTGACTTCTTGTCAAGGGCAGTGACATTGCTTGATAAGACCTAACTAAGGTTCTATTATCAGCTCCCGTTTCATATTACTCATTTAGTCTGCTGGGAACTCTGTTGTGGCTAGTCTTTTTTGTGATATCTCATCTTAGTGTCAATTATTTAGTATATATTTATGAGTTTCCTTGCCCCAATGATAAGTCCTGATTTCCAACTGGCTTTCTAAAGTATGCCTTGTAGGCCTCACACATTTTATGACTTGATTCCACAAAATAATTTTTTGGTTTTGTCTTTTACAAATTGCACTCATGTTAAGAAAAATAATCTTCTAGTATGATTTTTTATTATTTTGTTCACTAAAAACACTAGCTGAAAGAATGCTAACTAACTATGCTAACCCAGTGATAGTTCAAACAATACTGGTCATAAAAAAAAATACTACCACCATCCTCCTTGCGCTTCCTCCCCTTCTCTCCTTTCTCCCCCCTCCCCCCCCTCCCCCCCCCCCCCACTTTCCCCTTAAAAAAATTTGCACATAGAATTTCTTTTTTTATAATTGTGTATTTAAAATGCCCCTTATTATGAATGGTTTTTAAGTGCTTTGTTTTACCCATTGGTCACAAAAAGTGTTTTTAATGTCTAAAATTTATCTTCCTTGTACTTGAAATTAGGGTTGGCATTAGGTAATGCTTACCTTAAAGTCTGCATTGCCCTTGTTTTCTATGTATTACATGTTTTATAGTAAAACATTTGTATCAAGTTTTTTTTTTATGAAGACTGTATAGGACATTGTACTAGCAAGACTGCATTGTTTAAACTTTTGCTTAAAAAATAAGATTATAGATTAATCTTTATTTGTTTTATTTTTTTCCCGTAGGGTTTTGTTCTAGAATTTGTTTTCTCACCAAATGAATACTTTACCAATAGTGTAAGTTCTGAATTTACTTATTTGTGTGTTGGAAAAATGTGTAAGTGTTATACATAATGTTTAGACATTGCTTTGTTATTTATCATTTCTATGTCTTCCTTATTTATTTGATAACAAAATTATCAAAGTTTTTTTTTTACAATTTTTTATTTATTTTTAACTTAGTTGAATGACTGTTTTTAAAATTAGTACCTTTCTAGGTTTTAACAAAAACATATAGAATGAAGTCTGAACCAGATGCAGATGATCCATTTTCATTTGAAGGACCTGATATTGTTTCTTCTACAGGGTATGATTGTTTTGTTTGGTTATAAATTCATATTTAAAAAAGTAAGATGTTTAAAACTGAAAAATAAAAATGTATAAGTAATGTGATAATTAACTAAAAGTAATAACTTAAAAATAAAAGTGATAAAAGTTTTAACTATAAAACTAAAAGTTATAACTTAAAAATAAAAGTGATAAAAGTTTTAACTATAAAACTAAAAGTTTTGTTAACTATAAAATAGTTTATAATATTATATTATATCTATTAATATACTTGCAATCACTCCTATTTAGTTGCAAATTCTTTATAAAATTTTTTTTTCTTATTCACTTATATAAGAGTGTTCACATTTTTGGATTTGTATATTGAAAATTGACACCAGTTTTTTTCCAAAATACAGAGCTTTGACTTAAAAAAAGATTGCTCTTGGCACAGAATTGTTTTTCTATCTTTATTTAGAGTTGCATTTTGACTTATTGCAAAAAGATTATCTAAGAAAAATATTTTCAACGTTTTTTAGTGCTTTTTTTACTGCTAAACACCTATTGTTTATATTTAAAATTCAGTCCCACAACTTTAAAATATACTCTATACATCACTCTACATCCCAGCAGCTTTAAAATATATTCTTTTAGATCTTTAAATTTAGATCTTGTAAAATATAGAAATATATAAGGAGTAAAAAAGTAAAACATTCAGCTTCAAAATAACTATTTAATTGTTATTTACGTTGATTATAAATAACAGTTAAATAGTATGTCATAAGATTTATTTTTTATGAGTTTTTATGTTTTTTTATTTTTTACTCAGTTGTAAAATTGATTGGAATCCAAATAAAAATGTTACCCAAAAACAAGTCAAAAAGAAGCAAAAACATAAGGGTTAGTTAAAAAACTTTTCTTATTTATTTTTGTAATATTCTGTTGTATATTTTTGCTTAAGTTGTTTGTGTGCATGTTTATTTTATTTTAACAATGAAACTTTTTGTTTATATTTATTTTGTTAATTTTAAGGTCGAGGCCAAACGCGCATTGTTACAAAGACTGTACAAAATGATTCATTCTTCAACTTTTTTGATCCTCCTGAAGGTAATATTATTTTAAGTGTTATTTTTAAACACAACTGAAGGTAATTATTTTAAGTGTAAACATAACTTGAAAATCCATATTCATTTATTTTAAATATTTCTTTAGTCACAGAAGAAGAAGAGGAATTGGTATTCATTTTTTTTTCTTTTTTGTGTGGGTATTTCGTTTGTATTTAGATTTTAAATATTTTGATTTTACTTAAATATATTTTGTTATTAATTTTATTAAGGATGAAGAAACTGAAGCCATTCTTGCAGCAGATTTTGAAATAGGCCATTTTTTCAGAGAAAGACTAATTCCTAAAGTAAGAGGATGTTATTAATTTTATTACATAAATAATAAAATCAATTATAAATATATATCTAACTTAAAAACATCGTCTATTTTAAAATTAGGCAATTTGTTGAATATGTTTCAATAAAAAATATTTATGGTTTTTTGAAATTAAAAAAATATGTTTTTAGGCTGTTTTGTATTTTACTGGTGAAGCTATTGATGAAGATAGTGACGATGAAGTATATGTTTATTTTTTAAACAAATAAGCTTTTTATTGATTCTATTGACATTAGCTTGATAATTATTAAAGCATTGTATTCAAGTAATTTTTTTTTTCTTTTCAGTTTGAAGATGAAGAGGTACGTAAGATTTTAAATAGTTTTAAATTAGAAAATGTATTTTATACAAAATATTGTTTCAACTGAACAAATATTTTAGGGTGACGATGACGAGAACGAAGACGACGAAGATGATGACGAAGAAAACGATCCTGACTATAAACCTGCTGCAGGGGTGTGTTTATTTTTACGCTAGTTAATGTTATTTTAATTTTTTTACGATTGAATCTGCAGTTATAAATGTTTTATTATTTCGAAAATCTTTTGCATGTCTTTATGATTTGATTTTCAGGATAAACCACAAGAATGCAAGCAGCAATAACTGTTTTATATACAATGTTTGTCTGGCTGTAAACATGTGGCAATTATTTGGGAATAACGCTAACCCTATGAAGCGTCTCGTTGTTTGATGTCGTAAATCGGTTAAACCGCATAAAAATATTTCCGATTAAATATTTTATTTCCAGTAGAACTCGAAGCATTAAATGTTTTAGACGGTGGTTGGTTTACAAAAGAAATGTTTATATAAAATTCCTTCGGATTATTCAAATTAGATGCGCTATGGATATGTATTAATTTAAAGTTCTAAAATTTAAATACATTCGATATTAGCAAAATATAATTGGGTATTAGTTTAATTTTTTTAATTGCTTAAGGTTTTTAGTAAACCTTTTACGTTTGCGGGTTTTGTTTTGTTTGACGACAAATTGCTTGTCATTGATTACAGTTTAGGCTGGCGTCAATTAGAATGATCTACAAAAAGATTCTCTGGGTTTTTTTTTTTTTTTTTTTATATATCTCGAACGCTTTTATTTTTCTCTTTAATATTAAGTAAGCAATTTAAAGATTTATAAACCTACTAGATTGTTGGAGTAGTCTTAAGGATATTCTTTTATTGATAATGCATTATATATTATAATTTTATTAATCACCCTGATGTAAATATCTTTACCCGGTCAAAATGCAAATTAACAAATATAGTTTAAAAGCAAGCAAGAATAAAATAAAATAAGAATCTTTTTTTATTTATCTTTTATCATCTCTTATTCTTGTTTGATTTTAAACTATATTTGTAAGTAAAAACTAAAATAAAAAAACCCGTTTTTTTGTTATCTTTATTAGTCATATTTCATTTCTTCGCCTTTGCTTTGCATTCCAAACCGTTAGTACCAAAATTTGAAGAGTATCTTCAGGAATTGCATTTTTCAAGTCCCTAATTTTGACATTCTTCTTAACCAGCATTTAGTTTTTAATATTCAATCTATGAATGTTGCATAATTCCTTTATATCGTCCAGAAAGAGGTGTTTTACTGAGTAATTGAAGAGCTTAGTGCTAAAAGAACTTGAATCACTAAATGCTTTTGAGAAAATCTACTTAGAGCAAAGAATTAATACTACATAATAAAGATTTAAAATCGCTGATCAAAGTATATAAATAGATCTGCAGGAAATGATTAGATTGCAGCTTTCTTAGCATTAATTATTCCATATCCGAATTATAAAAAGTATATTATTCATAAGTATTATAGGATATTATAATAAAAATTAGCGGTTCTAGAGATTAAATTAGACCTGTATTATTTATCAAGACTGTACAATAAATTAATTCTTACAGGCAAATGGCCTAATCTCACTTTACTGATATTTTCTCTTAATCTCACTTTACTGACATTTTATCTAATATGTTATCTTTTTAAATCAGTTCACAAACTCTAATTTTAAATTCTACAAACGTCTTAAATCTTACTACTTTGTAACCTGTTGTCTTGTTCATAGCATTCCTTTTAAACTTATTTTTAATCAAGATAACAAACAAGTTACAACAAGGTCTATTGTCTATATATACAGTAACTGTCAGAGTACTTTTTCTAAAACCCTAATGAATTTATGGGTTAGCTTTCAAGAAACTTGAGATATTATAAATGCAATTCAGTTAAGTCTTTTCTCATGCAAGAGCAGCAATCAACATCAATCAACAAAGAGCAGTATCTTATTACATGCAAAACTATATTACAGTAACTTTGAATATCTGAAAATAAATCAATATTATATTTAAGATTACAATTCTTACATTTAAGGATATACTATAAGAAATTTAAAATAATAAACACAATGTTTATTAAAAAAACCTGATGTTATTAAGATTATTAAAAAAATAATAACAAGGTCAGGGGCGCACAGAGTCTTCATGATGCACAGGGTAGATCATTAAAAATTTACTAGATGGCCCTAACTCTACCACCTCAAAAATAACAATAAGACTAATAAAGCTCTTCTAGTAATTTTTGTCGTCTGATGATCCTGGATCTTCCACCCTATGTGCACTCCTGAACAATGTTCACAATATAGAATCTTATCTGTTCTAATTCAAATCAAGTAAGAAACTTTTACAAAAAAGAACGAAAACAGTTAAAGTCATGAACTTATACAACTATTGAATAAAATATTTTCAAATATAAAAATAACATATAAATATTTTTAAATAAAGACATTACTAAATATGAAGATTTATTTTAAAATATTTGTATGTTATTTTTGTTTTTTTTTCCAGTACCGTAAATCGGGGTTACTTTGAATGGTGGGGTTGCTTTGAATAAAAATCAATTTTTTGTTCTCGCTGTAAATGTTAAAAGTATTTATATAAATTTGTTTAAACCTTAACCATCAAAATATAAAATAGTTTTTTGATTATTTAAAGTTTTAATTTTTTTCTCAGTTTTACATCTGATTTAATTATCATTTAAATATTTTACATACATTTTAAAAAAAATGTTAACCAGAAAACTTTGTATATAACACTTCGAATACTAAAAAAACTTTTCAGGGCTCGGTATGAAATTATATTTTATTTTTTTAGTAATACTAAGTTTATGTAAACCTAGAGTGTTGTTTTTATCAAATATTAAAACCAATTAAAATATTTTGCTTTTACTGCAAAAAAGAATTCAAAGCAACCCCATTTGCGAGGTAACTTTGAATGATTAAGTAAATAAATATTATTCCTAATCCTTTTATTTAAACATTATTTTAAAGTTGTGTTTTAAGAGCCAGTCATAGCTCTTATATACGTAATAATAAAATTCAAATATTGTCAATAGTGAAAGAAGGGCATATAAAAATTTCTAAAAAATGTTCTAAGTAACCCTGGTTTACGGTAACAAAATAAGTTGTTATTATAATAAAATCTTTGTGTCTTTTAAAATTTTATATGTTCCTTCTTCTATCTGATTATCCAACCTTTGTTTTTATAGATAGTTAATTTTTGTTAATTAAAAAATGCAATTTTCCCCCTTTCATCAACTGCTGCTTTGCTGTCTTCATTAAGTTTTGAACAGCTGTAAATTAACATGTTACAACTAAGTTGTAAACTGAAATTTGCTTCATTAATTTTCAAACTGAACGTTGCTTTCTTGATTTCATTTTAAACTGAACTTTGCTGTTTCGTTACGCTTTGAAGTGCAGTGTTTGCTGTCTTCATGAAGTTTTAAACTAAATCTCAATGTTTTTATGAAGTTATAAACTGAATTAAGCTGTCTTCATTTAGTTTTAAACTAAATTTTTTAATTTCTTGATTTCATTGTTTAGTTCTCATAGTTTTGGCAGTTTTCTCAGATTCTTTGACAATTTAAAAAAATTCTTTTAATAAGCTGTTAATATTATTTTCTTCAATGAGCACTTTTGGTAGATCTCTTGTTCAAACGATTTGATGTATTATAAATAATAAATTTCTTATACTTTTTATATAAAGGTGTTTAATCGAGGAAAAAAGTGAGCATGGTTTTTATCAACACTTTTTCTTCGAAGCTCGAGTGTTTATGTGTAAAATTCACAGTTCGGCTAAACTAAAGTCTATCTTTAAAACCGCTCGTCATAACGTCCACTGCTCTTCTTTTTTTTGAAAACTTATTAAAATATTATTTACTGCATTTAAATTTTCTGTTTTTGTTTTTTTTTGGTACGCAACAAGTCGAGCTGTACTGTCAAAAAAATGTCAAAGATCTTCGACGTTTTTTTATTTGTTCACTTCTTTTTGCCACCCATCATGGCGGATACAAAATTTTGCGGACGTTTGGCGCTCAGATGAATATCATGGATACTTTTTCAAAACATTTTGTCTGAAGTACTTTTAGCATTAAGATGGGAATTTATAATTTCAAGTTATTTTATTGTTTAAAAGGCGGAGAAATCAGTTAATTTTTTATTGTTGTATGCAAGTTAAAATTTCTTGATTGAAAGGATAAGTATAATTTTTGCTATACTTGATAAATAAGATAAAAAAATATATATATTAAATACATGATTTGTCAATACCTTTTCTAGTGAGCAAGTCCAGGTTTCAGGTTTTTTGTAAAATCAAGACCCGAATTATTTAAATTTATTTAAACTGTTTTATACTCATAATTTGAGATGGATAAATAGTTTAATGTTTATTATATTATGATAATATAAGATATTATATTATGATAATATTATGATAATATAAGATATTATATTATGATAATATAAGATATTATATTATGATATTATATTATATGATATTATATTATATTATATTATATATTATATTATATTTTATTTTATGATATTATATGATATTTTATGATATTTTATGATATTATATTTTATGATATTATATTATATTATATTATATATTATATTATATTATATATTATATTATATATTATATTATATTATATGATATTATATTATTATATGATATTATATAAGATATTATATTATGATAATATAAGATATTATATTATGATAATATTATGATAATATAAGATATTATATTATGATAATGATAATATAATGTTTATTATATTATGATAATATAATATATTATATTATGATAATAAAAGGAAGTGGAATATATATAAATGAAGATTTTGCTAAAGAGACAATGGAAGAGCGAAAGAGACTTTGGGAAGAAGTTAAAAATCTTCGCAATCAAGGTAAATACGCAACGATTAAATTAAATAAAATTTATTGTCGCGAATTTAGAAAATAAGAAAATAAGTTTTGCGTAAGTTAAAGCGATCGAAGCAAAGTTAATTCTTTTTACTTATGGCTAAACAAACAAAAGATTTCGAAACGCAACACTTTAATGTTTTCAAATCAGCCAATAACGTTTTACTTGATAACTTTTACGACCCAGATTTGCATTTTTTTAATGAAAATAATTTTAACTCGCGGTTTTTTGATTTAAAAACTTTTAAAAATGAATTAAAATCATTAAATAATAACTTTACGGTTATACACATAAACATAAGCAGTATAATTAACAATATTGACAAGCTAAAACATTTTCTTGTAGAATGTAATTTTTTGTTCAGTATGATTTGCTTAACAGAAACCTGGTGTTCTGACGAATCATCCAGAATAAATTCAAACTTATTAATTCCGAACTACAAACTAATATCTTACGAGCGAAAAGTTCAAAAACGAGGTGGTGGTGGAATTATGACATATATTCATAATGATCTGACAACTAAAGTTAGAGACGATCTTTCTGTTTCTGATGCCGATGGTGAGGTCTTTACAATTGAAATAATAAACCAAAAGTTAAAAAATATACTGGTGCCCACCTGTTACAGACCACCTGAAGGTGATATAAAA